TGTTGTTAGATAAAGAAGCACTTCATTGCTCCTCTTCTTGTATTAAACAGAAAGTCAGTGGTAGGCCTTAATACTCCAACAAAATCTATTGGTCTAATTTGTTACAAATTGAAAATATCAAGTTCTTTGAAGTAAACATTCTGCTTCTGTTTAATCTGCAGCAAAATTTCATTGGTACAGTATGTTGAAATATGTGGAAGATCAGAAATAACCATATTATGTTCTTAACTTGTTCTTAAACGTATTAATTAGATTAAGTACTCTTCAGATCAGATGCTGTAGTATGGAAAATAGAGAAATGATACATTAAAAAATTTGGAGTTTTGGGGGTTTATACAATGAGAAAAATTGAAATTCTTACACTAACTATCCTTTTCTGGATTTCATTACTTGATATCTCACATTCATTTTTGAAGCTATTTTTGTCATGCATTTTTTTTTAATTTGTTTATGAATATTTTCCACAGGGCTGTAATAGCAGAGCTTATTTACTTCATTTTTCAGTAAAAATTGAGGCAATAAGTTTTTTTTAAAAAGAAGACGCGTATGTACAGTGAAAGGAAAAAGAAAAACTTCTTATTCCTTTTTTTATTCCTTTTAACAGTGAAGACAATAAAATGTGAATTTAGCATAAACTGATGGAGTGTAACTTCCCTGTGCATGTGGACAAGGAACTCTGAATCTTTTAACTCACTTCGTTTGAGTGCACAGTTCTGGTACCTGAAGGGAGAGATGGTGGCTTTGAAGGTTCCATGTTTCCTTTCCTCGTCTTCCATTAGCTATGAACCCCAGTGGTCCGTAGTGTAGTTGCAGTCCCCAAGACATTATAACACTGTGACAGGGGCTCTCTACAAGGTTTTCTTACATAACCAGGCTGGGTGGGAGTATGAAAAAGCCATGTCTTTGTTCAACATGCCTCTCCTACCAAAGAACTGTGTATAAAAGCAACATATTATTTGAAAACAGCCCTTTTTCTGAAGCACCTGGTTCTTTTGCTTTTTGCTTGTATAAACTGTCTTTTCTTTAAGGGGTGGTGGGAGGGTGTGTCTTCTAAAATACCTAAAGCTAACCTGAAAATCCAGACCTCTGGGTATTTTAGTATCACGAGAAGACAGCCTTTAGAGAGACACCAATCCATTTAACAGTTTCAGCTTTGGTCACACACACATAAGTTGAAATTAACTGGTCAGCTCAAATGAGTGAAGTTACCCATATGCATAATTATATGTAAACCTGGTCTTTTTCTTGAAAAAAATAAATAAAATATTTTTCCACAATTGAAGTTTTTTGAGACATCACGAATTAACATAAGAAAAATGTAAGCTATTTAAGAGGTAATTGCCAGAATATAGAATTGACAGCAAAATTAGTGCTTTTAGTTTTTTATCGTATTATTAGCCCCTTCTACATACAGACTGAACAAATCTTTTTATGCTCCTGATAGCTAATGAGAAATATTAATACACTTACTGCAGGGGAAAACACTGACTAATCACTTGCAGACCACACTGAAAAAACCATCTATACTCAAATGTAAATACCAAACATAATTGGATTTATAACTTTATTTAATGTTCAATATTTGAAAGCTTAATAAACTACCTTTAAAACATGTACAAGTATTAATTCTAGTTCCGAACTGTTTCATTATGTGGCTTGCTTTTTAGAGGCTTGTGTCTTCACAATGTGACGTAAGTAAATGTAATAAATAAACAGAAGCATTGCATCCTGTTAAAGCTCTACATATTAGTAGTGTGAACAGAATGGAAAATGTAGCTAAATATAATACTAGTTTCCAAAATAAAAAGTTAAATTACTACATATCTGTTGCTGAAAAATGCCAGAGAATTCTGGCAATTATAGTTGTGTATTGCTAGGAAAAAATTAATTGCTTCTAAAATTACATTGAAAATCTATTTTATTTACTAGCTATTCATTAAAGCCACAGATTTTAATTGTAATAAAAAGTATCAGCACTAAAATATTAAAGCAAATGGTCATGTTAAGAATACAGTCCTTAAATTTCTTCTGAGGCAGTATCATATATTAATTGACTTCAGTAGGCCTTGCGCAAGGCTTAACATGTCGAAGTTAGCAGCAGTTTATCACTGTTTTATGTTTTCTCAGAAGCAGAACTACCACAAAATCGTTATTTTGTAGTAATTCATGCTATCTGTGAGAAATGTGGCACTCTGGAAGTAATTAATATTATATTGAAAAGTGGCAGATGTTAACTCCATATGGATTAGTCAGGAACTATTGTAACAGCTTCATGAATGTTAGGTGTATCAGAGGATCCTCTGGGTATTTTCATCCAAAAGAATTCTGTGGGGATGAAAGAGCCAAGGACATCTGAAGTATTCTTGATCTCTCCTGCCAATTTACTGCAGCATAAACTCTGGTTTTTGTACTGTATGTCTAAATTGTTTTGAGGAGCTGTTTTGGGACCTTTAGTTCATGGCATGTCTGCGAATGATCTCTGAATTCTTCAGTACTGATGTTCTGCAGCATCAGTGCCTGTTCTTATGAAGGACTAGATGCAGTGACCCTGTCCTGGGTTTCTTTGTGCAGCCTTTAATGATGGTATTCCTCCATCAATGTCACATTTTCCTCTTGGAACTGAAGTTAATGGACGGTAGTTAATACAAATGACGTGTTTTGGTACAGCACAAGCATCTTCTCTGTAAAGGTTGAGCCATTACTGGAATAAGAAAAAATGAGTCCAGGAAACCCAGAAAACAAAGACCTGGAAATAAAAAGCAATTGCTCTGAATTAATATAATGTCCTTTTTCCCTCAAATCAGAGACAAAAGGATGGTGCTCAGCGTAGAAAAGGCTTGTAAGAGTTTATAATCTTTAACATTGATGATAGTAGTAGTAGTATGACAGTATCTAGTTCTTATACATGTATTTCTATTAATTATTTCTTATGCCATCTTATAAAGGTCAGTGTTGTCCCCGTTTTACAATATTTCTGTATTGTACAATGCACACATGAGAATAAAACCAACAATTCAGGAACTAGAAGCAATTCATTTGTAGACCTGTGTGAGGACTAATTAGTCCTGAGAGACAGCACTAAATAAACAAAAATGCACTAAGTAGACAATAATTCTATTGACAAGTAAGACTGTATCTCAGACCTGAACTTCTATTTTTGCATGACTTTGCATGGTGACATTAGGCTTACAGTTGCATTCAGAGTCAGATAAACCACATTACACAGCTGTGCAGCATTTGGTGCTTGGTGGGCTTTCCTTGGTAGCGATGTCAGATAAGAAGTGTTGGAAAGAATAGGGATTGAGTCATGTTCTGGGAAGATTAAATATGTAGGAGAGGGGAGGAAGAAGGTGATGTGGATTGAGATCATGATTTGGAGCGATGAGGGAAGGCTGCATGGCACAGGGTTGGTACCCTGTTTGCGAAGCTGTAGCTGTGCAGTGGGAAGGTTAAGAACAGCATTTTAGGTGGAAGTTTCACAGATGCATTCATAATGTCTTGACTTTCATATTTTCTAAGGCTAGCTCTTGTAACCAAGGTGGGTATAAAATCTCAAGTGATATGACTTTTCATATGGAATTAAATTCTTTAGGTCACTCAGGTGACCTTAAATCATATCAGGCTCTAGGCAATAAACTCAATGACTGCCTAGTTACCTAGACATGTATAGAAAGGATTTATGATATTATAAGACAGTTTCTTCAAAATGTCTTTTCTAAATAAATATTGCTTTTTTTTTTAGAAAGCTGTCTTGTCAGTGGTCAGCTTTGTCATAGCTCATTAGCAAGCTGGGCACAGCATCTGAAACAAGTTCATATTTGGGGATTTTCAGGAGGATTTGGTTGCCAGCATTAAAGAAGATGAATGCAGTTTTTATTAAAAAAAGTTGATGACAAATAGAAGTCGTAAGAGGTAAATGGGTTGCTGTGGAAGAGCTCATAAAAGGGTCAGGTATTTAACTGAACTTGGCAATCATGACAACATTGCAGACTCCTGATAGAATTTTTCTCAATACTTTTCTCTGTGCAGCTGCTGCAAACACAGTAAATAAACTTTTAGATGAACACTGTATTTCTAGCTCCCATTCAGTAAAGTGGCTTTCAAGGACCCTAGAGAGCCTGTTTGTCTTAAACAGAACAAAACAGTAGATTGTCTGACATACCGGTCTTCTCAGCTGTCAGAATACTAGGTACCATCTGCGTCTGATTTAAATTAATTGTATTATACTGTGTGAAAAGTCATGTCTTGCAAAATAATATTTAATCTTTTAAATCTTTTAAAATAATTCTGTTAAAGTTAAACTGTAATCATGAAGCTTCACATTTTCTTTTGAAGTATGTGTGCCTAGAAGTAACACATCATTATTGCAGCCAAAGGGCTTTACAAAACTTTCTCTAATTTTTCAGTTTACTTTGTATATAATGACAGTTTATATACTCTATAGTTAAATTTGTTTTCTCATATATTTGTTTCCTTTCATGTTAAAAAGGTTTCTACAGACGTTAGTAGAGAAGCATAAAAGCACAGTATAAGCGTTTCTAAAGGACTGCTGAAAAGTTCAGGATTTATGGTGAGGTCTGATAAGCATCTAAAAAGATGCTGGTAATACTTTGTTCTCATATAGTGCTGTTTTCATTACCAGGTCTTAAAGCCCTTTAGAAGGATTGGTATTATCGCAGCCAAGGATATTCAGGCAAACTGATGCTAAACTGATTTTCTGAAGTGGGCTGGTAAACTACTGAAAAGGCTAGGAGTAACTCCTGAGTCACAATATAGCAGTTTTTGCCTCAGATTAAAGTGTTCCCTTCTGCATTACGATTTGCTTTAGTTAGTTTTCCATTAAGAGAAAGGTTGCTTTTAATAATTTCTAATATCATTCTTGTGGATTTTTAAATAAAAAGTATGATGGTTGGCAGTTTTTAGAGGTATCGGAGTGAGCTAGGCAAATTGAGGCAAAAACTAATTTCCTTGACAACCCCAGTATTTTATTTAAATTGTAGAGAATATTTCTACAAAACTGGCAGTTGTGCCATCTGTAAAGTGCCTCTAACTTGAGAACTGGTATTAAAATACAGCATAGGATAAGCTAATTTGGTCTGGGCTTTGGAGCAAGGTTTCTGTAACTATATAGGGGTTTTTTAAAAAGATATCTTGGTCTGTACAGTGCACTGCAGTTGTTGTGGATGCAATATGGTCATATCTCATGTCCCTTGAAATAGTTTTGGTTTCACTCCTTTCTGCTGACCTTTCATATCACCTGTTCCTTTTCTCCTCTTATCATGATTCAGCTGCAATGTTAAATACTAATAAGAGAACTTGATGCAAAGGAATTTGTTTCAAGTTATGCTGAAGTGATTTTTGTGGGTTTTCTGTAGGCGTGCAGGTATGCAGCCATTAAACAAGACAGTGGTGAAGCATTTATGCCTGCAGAGCTTATTTCCAATGTACACTTGTATTAATACTTAGAGCAGAGGGATATTTTTTACACAATTTCAATACATTTATTTTTCCATCATCTAAAGCCTTTCAGACAAGAAGCAAATTTGTCATTAAACAGTAATGAAAACATTGTCTATGTTTCATAAACAAGGTCTATGTATCCTCTTTTGTATCTAGAAGGGTTTGTGTAAAACCTTGTTTTCTCTTAGTGGAAGGGAAATTACCACTTCAGGTAGTTCAGATTTTTCAATGGATATCACAATTTATATTTATAAGGGGCAAGCTTTTAACAGAATACTGTCAGTGAACAGCTGGCACACAGTAACATTTTATATCATTACAGCTGTCTTCAAAGTGATTTTATGACTCAGCCTTAGTTTGATACCAAGACTAGAAGCTTGATTTATGTTCAATTTTTCTCCCTTCATACTTCAAAAAATACTTTCTTCAGAAATAAATGACCTATATCTTAATCTCTTGATTTACATAATTCTTGACAATGTGTAATATTCTAATAAATGATTGCTCTCTTTCAAGAAAATTGATTCCTCTCCAGTGGAATATGTAAGAATCAAGTTTCTTTCTAAACATTGTCTTCAGGTGTTGATTTGGTAGGTTTTGGATGTTCTACTGTGAAAAAATCAACTGAACTACATTTTTATTCCAATACAAAATGGCTTCATATTGGTGAATGCAGTTGAATCTTCATTGTTGTTCAGCTAGTCTGTTCCATATGTGCAAAGATGTCTTCCAAGAAAGCATCTTTGCATTCCCAAATTCTCAAGAAAAAGCAGTTGTTACCTTGAAAACTACTCTTATATTAAGATTATGGAAATTTGACATGATGACAGATTTATGAGAGAAACATTTACAATGTACTTACAGATTTGCAGTATTCCCACTGAAATTGTGGGAAGGGAATTTTTTTGTAAGAAGATAGAAATCTCCAAGTTGGAAACTATTACTACAAGCAACGGCTTGGAGGCCACTGTAGAGAGTGGTGCCGTTTATACCAGATGTGTCATTTGAGTAGGAAATGAGAGAAGATGAACTACATCTAAAAAGTGATTGTTTGTGTCTCTAAGATCCCAGCTGTCAATTAACTGCTCTTCATACTGTTGTGAGTGCTACAGTGAAGGCTTTACACGATATTCCTGTGTTATATTGTTTAGTCGCATAGAGGGTGTGCAAGAGATGATAGCTACATCTAGCACTCAGGGCTGATGCTTTCAGATCAGTCATGGTGTTCATACATGAAATTAAGAAAGAAGTCTGCCTAGTTCACCAGTTTAAGAATCTGTGGGAGTCTAATTGTATTAAAAGTGTTTGAAGTTGTAGCGGAAACAGAACAATAACAATCTCAGGCATAACATTTCCAAACTTTTCTTTGTGCTCTGTCACAAACATCAGACCTGCATATTGTCAGTGTTTCCATTTTCTGAAGAATGCAGCAGATAGGGTGTGCAGTTTTGTAGCTCATCAAAAGATTAAAACTGAAAACTGATTTTCCTATTTAGCATCCTTGGAGTGGCGGTGCTAGCTGATATGTACAATGCCTAAGAACTAGGTTCATCTTCTATTTTAACTCATTTGGGTCTGCTATTAGATGTCCATATTGTTTAGAGAGACGAATCTACATATGCTATGCTATTATGAAGGACAGGTACAAATGGCACTTTCTGACCTTAAGTTTATGAATTTGAGTTACCAACTGCTATGTGTATATTCTTTTTAAAGACATAGTACCATACATATCTGCTTCAGGAGAAGACAGGCTAGCAGGCTAGCATTGTCTCAAACTCTAGTCCACTTTAACCAGTGAGAGCCTTTGGTGCCTACCTTTAAAATTCCTGGAATCATAGAATAGTTTGGGTTGGAAGGGACCTTTAAAGGTCATCTAGTCCAACCCTCCTACAATGAGCAGAGACATCTTCAACCAGACCAGGTTGCTCTGAGCCCTATCCAGCCTGACCTTGAATGTTCCCAGGGATGGGGCATCCACCACCTCCCTGGACAACTTGTTTGTTTAACCACCCTCACTGTAAAAAATTTCTTCCTTATACCTACTCTGAATCTACCCTCTTTTAGTTTAAAACCATTGCCCCTTGTCCTATCGCGACAGATCCCACTAAAAAGTCTGTCCCCATTTTTTATATAAGCCCCCTTTAAGTACGGAAAGGCTACTATATAGTCTCCCCAAAGCTGAACAGCCCCTACTCTTTCAGCCTTTCCTCATAGCAGAGGTGCTCCAGCCCTCTGACCATTTTTTGTGGCCCTCCTCTGGACCCATTCCAGCAGGTCCGTGTCTTTCCTGTGCTGAAGACTCCAGAGCTAATGCAGTACTCCAGGTGGGGACTCACCAAAGTGGAGTAGAAGGGCAAAATCACCTCCTCGCTATACACCTCTCACATCATGGTGTATAGGGGTATTTCCACACCCACATTGAATATGAAATGTTTTTACTTGCCCTGAGTCAGTCTCTCTAACTGTCAAGATAAATTAAGGAGAACTCATACGACAAAAAGGCTTCTTACTATTCTACAGGAGTTCTTAGAGGGTTAGCCACAAAGGGGAATACCATATTGCTCTGCAACCCTTCACCTGAGAGTTATGAAGTAAAGTTGTACAAATGTGATGGTCTTTGTTTTTTGTGTGGTCTTCATCAATGAATTAACTTCAAAAACTGGCAAAAAGTATCAGACCTTCGAAATGACTGATTTATGCTGAATCTTTGTCTTTCATGAGGTAAAAACATTGCTGTGTTGGCTTTAGTATAAAGTATGGTTTAACAGAAGTAGAAGAAAGATGCCAATTTTAAGCAGGCAGTTACTTTGATTCAGACTTATGTGCTTCTCTGTTGTGATTACTACATGTCATGGGATGCTATTAAATGATAAAAACAAAGTTCAGATTGATTGGAGATATTTAGAAGTCATTTGCAATTTACAGACTTTTAGTCTTTATATTGACAGTCAGACTGAGAGGTGAGGTGAACTTAAATCAAGTTTCACTTAAAATTTACTTTTAAACTTCACTGTGAAGTAAATTTTGGTTTGGAAACACATAACATATTTCCTCATATATTTGTAGATGGGTTTTTTTTGTTTGCCCAAGTTATAATAAACATCCACAAAGAACACTAAATACTGTTCTTTCCACAGATTCATTCTTTGTTTACCAGTATTGTAGCTATCACAATTACTTTAAATTTTGGGTCACCCTTTATTCTCTGAGCAGGGAAGATTTTAATAGCTTACTGCCTTGTAATAGACTTGAAAAAATTCAATGTGTTAGCTGGGCTAGAAAGAGGCCAGTATACATGTCCCATTTGGTAGTTCACTCCTTGTTTATTTAAGACCTCCTGTCATTCTCCTTGGAAATACCTAATGCGTGTCACTTGTTCCCACCACCTTCATCAGCCTTCTTTCATTTAGGTTGGTGCAGACAGGCAGAATAATTACATAACAGAAGCTGAAGTTCTAGTAGTACTATAATTTTAAAGGTTACCTATTCCAGAAGTGACCATCTCGACTTTTTCTGACTGTGCTTCTTTACCTTAGGTGCTTACCTAAAAATATTATGCTTTCAAGATGCAAGTATGGCTAAATACTTGTCATTTCATCTTTGTATCTTCATGAGATTTATGAAAAGAAGTAAAACAATCATAAAAACACTTTGCACATTATAAAAAAAACTTTTTAGAACCAATTGTAATTTGAAACTCTCATCAGAAGTTGCTGGGTTTAGAATCTTTGGTCTGCAGGATGGCTCCTTTCTTTTCCTCTTATTCTTACTCTCTTCCCTCTTCCCTTCTTCTCCCTGTCTTTTTTCTTTCCTATTAGTTACAGAAGGAAAGCAATAAGGAAGCAATAAGGTGTTTGCCCACTTTTAAACAGAAAAGTGATTAAAATGTTTTAATTGTAATTTCCCATTATTTTAATGATTAAAAAAATTGAAAAATTTAAAACATTTGACACCCCCCCCCATCTGCCAGGTTTTGTTCTGGTATCTGTTATGGTGCTGTCTGATATGTGGAGATGCTAGTGATGCTTGCTTGCTTTTTTAGAGAGGAAAAAGTGACTTGTGTGAATTTCTTAGGAGACTGTGATCATTTGATTTCCAATTTATTCCAAATGAACAATATGCTAATTAAAACAATTGTAATATTGTTTCCGCAATTATTTGTTAATTATGATTGACTTAATGAACTACTTCTGCACACTCAGTTCTCCTGAGTGTGTTTTGTAGGTTAGACAATTTGCCAGAGCAGAACTTCATCAAAGAAAACACTAGAATAATCAGTGTTGTTTTAAAGTAAATTGATCTTGAATCTCCACAGATCGGTATAGCAACAACAGTGAGCTTGAGGCAATGCAGGGAATTGTCTTTTTCAGCAACATAATGTATAGCAATGTTGATTTTTGTACAGCTGTATATTTAGTTAAAATATGCAGTTGTTTTACAGTCCCTTTGAATCATGAAATATTGGAACAATTGAATTCTGCTACCTGACTTCTCAGCAGAAGTAGAAATAGCAAACCAGCAATGACAGGGCATTGTCAGCACATGAAAGACAGGAATCAATTATTTGATGAC